CAGTAAAATTTGTGTGCTTTCTCTCAAACTTGGACTTTTATGCTCCAGGCAGATGACGTAAGCCGAGTGCAGCGCCACTAATTTGCATATTGCAATTTTACTCAGCTACTCTTAGTGGACAACATATGCAAATTTTGCACGGTTTGGCTTACTTTTGAAAGAGTTATCGCTATTTTTGTGATTTTTCCTTAATTTATGATAACCAGTGTAGGTTAACAGGAGAGTCGTCGACAGAATAAACGACGATGAAAAAGCATTTGCATGACGCGTCTCCAGATCCACTCTTCGTCGTACAGGAAATGGCGACCCCAGAGATTAACTTCTCCGGTATCAAAAAAGCTCCGTAAGAAACGGATTCTGACAAGATCTGAATCAGGCATGAAGCGAAGACGGCTGCAACATATTAAAACAAAATAAATTAAAAATTAATAGAAAACAAAAATCCAGTAATTCAAATAATAAGAAATCGTAATTCATGATCAATCATACTTAAGTAAGGTCTAGATTTCTAGCACTAATACCAAAAAAGGCTATGCTGAGCCCTCAGATTTAAGGGTTTATTTTAAAACATTGCTTAACGTTTATTATTTTCTAAATTAAACCTTAACAGTCCAGAAATGTTTCAAGTTTATTTCACTCCAGGAGAAAATAATATTATTAAAAAATGTACAATTATTTTGATTAATTGATTATAAATATACCATTATAAAAATATGAAACAAATTATAAAATGATTTGCCCAAAATATGCACCACATTGATTGAGAGTGTATGCCAACAATGTCATTTACATGGTGGCATTGCTAAAAAAATTAACTTTTGTTAAAACCTCTTAGAATTATAACATAAAATTATCGTTGTGCTGCAGTACATGAATTAATCTGTTTCANTTTGCATGGGGGATTCTTTTGTCATGTGTACAAGTATTCAGGGTTAAGAACTGCAAATTTTTAAAAAAAGTTTTTTTTGGACCAGTCTAATATATATATATATATATATATATGATAAAATAAATAATAATAATAATCTTTTGGTGCCAAAAAGTTGTGCCACTGGTTGATTCACAGGTAAAAACTAGGGCAAAAAAAAACTTTCCACAAAATGGAATATTATTTCAAAAACACTATCTTCTTTATTCTGCACCTAACATAAAGAAATTTTGAAGTTCCATCTATGTTAATCTTTTCGATAAATTATTTTTAAAAAAATAGTCATAGCTGTTTGAAATTGTTATATTGATTGTGAATTACCCTGTACTTAATACAAAACAAATTATAGTGTTCATTTTCTAGGTTTTCCTTTTTTTTCCAGCTTCTTGTTTGTGTCCCAGAAGAAATAGATTTCTTCTGGACCAAATACTAACCCTAATATTAAGTTATATATACCTGTATCATTCAATGAAATTTCAGGTACTACCAGGAACACACAGCATGCACAGCTATACATTTTACAAGCACATCCATAATCATCAGCTTCATAGAAAGAATTATTCAGCAAAGGATTGCTTGAAAAACTTGGAGAAACTAAAATAAAATAGTTAAAAACTTATGTAATGCTAAATGAATTTCTTTTACATAACTTGCAAGAAACAAAAAAATGCAACTAATAGGAAATATTTTATTAAAAAACTAATATTTTCTTAATTATTTGGTGGATGATACAGAATATTTTTCTACCTGCAATCAATTGGATTTAAACTCATCTGTAAATCGAAACAAACAAAGCTTCACCGTTAAGAAATCGAAAATTTTATTAAGATACACTATACGTAAATAAAACATTTATTTATTATATATATATAAATGTTGTATAATGGTTTTATATAATAATATGTATGTATATTGGCTTTAATGAGCTT